ATAATTTGTTGCTCTTCTTGATCAGTTTTTGTATTTCTTGATAATTTTTTGTACTTCTCGATCATTTTTTTGTACTTCTCGATCATTTTTTTGTACTTCTCGATCATTTTTTTGTACTTCTCGATCATTTTTTTGTACTTCTCGATCATTTTTTTGTACTTCTCGATCATTTTTTGTACTTCTCGATCATTTTTTTGTACTTCTCGATCATTTTTTGTACTTCTCGATCATTTTTTGTACTTCTCGATCATTTTTTTGTACTTCTCGATCATTTTTTGTACTTCTTGATCATTTTTTTGTACTTCTCGATCATTTTTTGTACTTCTCGATCATTTTTTGTACTTCTCGATCATTTTTTGTACTTCTCGATCATTTTTTGTACTTCTCGATCATTTTTTTGTACTTCTCGATCATTTTTTGTACTTCTCGATCATTTTTTGTACTTCTCGATCATTTTTTTGTACTTCTCGATCATTTTTTGTACTTCTCGATCATTTTTTGTACTTCTCGATCATTTTTTGTACTTCTCGATCATTTTTTTGTACTTCTCGATCATTTTTTTGTACTTCTCGATCATTTTTTGTACTTCTCGATCATTTTTTTGTACTTCTCGATCATTTTTTGTACTTCTTGATCATTTTTTTGTACTTCTCGATCATTTTTTTGTACTTCTCGATCATTTTTTTGTACTTCTTGATCATTTTTTTGTACTTCTTGATCATTTCTTGTATTTCCTAATCATTCCTATTCCTTCTTAATCATTTCTGAGCCATTCTTTTCATTTATATTTCGACACATCTTGACTGCTGAAGGTCCAGCGAGTGTCATCTCAAGTCATATGAAAGAGGGCGCCAACCAGCTGTCTACGGGCTCACCATAGCCCGTGCTACTTGGAACTTTTTGTTCCAGGTAGCGAATCTATAACAACAACAAGAGCCAAACAGCGAGCAGAAGCTCAGACCTGACTCACTACACTCACTTGATATGATAAATTTATGGCTTCGATTCATCCCAGGTCAATTTCAATGGTTCGATTATCAAGGCTCTGGTTCACTCTGGGCCATTATCGAAACGGAGCAACGAGTAAGTAACACTGACCCAGAATGGAAATCTATATTCAATGGAGACTAATTACCATTCTAAATGACTTTACTAGCCTGGTGCCTTGTTTTGATAACTACTGACATTAGGAGGTCAGCCTAGGCCATTTGTAACAGGTCACCGGAGGTCATATGAATGAGGTTGTTAAACACGACCAATATGACCTCATATTTCAAATGACGAGACGTAATTAATCACATGACAAGTCACCTGAGGATAGACAGAAAAGGTCGTCAGAGGCCAGACGGAAAAGGTCACCAAAGGTCAGGTTAAACATTTCGCTACGGAAGTGGAAAAAGTTTCTGAGGTCAGATGAGGTCATGTGAAGGACTCGAGCGGCAGGAGGTGAGGCGGGGTAAGTGTTGGCTTGTGGTGAGAGGACAAACACATTCTGAAAGGACCTCTTCTTCCTTCGCTAAACATAGCATCTGCCGCAAAAATCTTTTTCTTTAACGCACGGAATGGGAAGGAGGCTGTAAAAATATCTTGTAATACAATATCTTCTGCTTATTTTGTATTTATATTTTGTGTATTCCATGCATAAATACATGAAATATAATATAAATAATATATACCTGTACATATAATACACAAATATATATATATATATATATATATATATATATATATATATATATATATATATATATATATATATATATATATATATATATATATATATGCGAACAAGCCTGAATGGTCCCCAGGACTATATGCGACTTGAGATGTGAGTTTTCAGTCATATATATATATATATATATATATATATATATATATATATATATATATATATATATATATATATATATATATATATATATATATATCGCTTGATAATGAGGCAACACTTTATAACATATTATGAACTACATACAAGATTCTCAAGAGGAATTGGCAGGGTAGAATAAGACAAACTATTTAACACAGGTGGAACACGAGCAGTAGAACACAGATGGAAACTGAGTTCCCAAATGAACCACAGAGACATTTGAGAGAATGTGTTCTCTCTCTGTGTCTGTGTCAGAGTAGTTACCAAAAATGGAATGCACTAGGCAGTGTAGTGGGAGAGTCAGACTACATACACAGTTTCAAATGTCGATATG